ACACACACACACACACACACACACACACACACACACACACACACACAATTTTATTAAGGAGCACACAGGAATCTTTATTCTCTCAGAATCCACAACTGGCCCAGCAAGTCCTTTAACCATGAACACATACATTCATTCTTGTAACTCAAACCTTCAGGCTCCAGAGAAACATTTTCCTTGACTATGCCTTTGAAAGGGGACTTCAGTTAATTACACTATTGTTTATTTTGTATATGTTAGAAAACTTCTATTAAAAAAAGTTGGGGTGCCTGGGTGGCTCAGTCAGTTTGGGCATCTGGCTCTTCGTTTCAGCTCAGGTCATGATCGCATGGGTCATGCTATTGAGCCCCTCTTAGGGCTCTCCATGCTCAGCAGGGAGTTGGCTTGGAGATTCTCTCCCTCTGCCCGTGCTGCCCCGCCCCCCCCAGAGCTCATTCTCTCTCTGGAATATTTATTTTTATTTTTATTTATTAAATTTTAATTTATTGAATTTATTTTATTTGTTTTTAAATAGATCTTATTTTTTTAATTTTTAAAATAGATTTTACCTATTTATTTGCCAGAGAGAGAGAGAGCAAGAGAGCACAAGCAGGGGGAGCAGTAGGCAGAGGGAGAAGCAGGCTCCCTGCCGAGCAAGGAGCCCGATGAGGGACTCGATTCCAGGACCCTGGGATCATGACCTGAGCCAAAAGCAGTCGTTGAACCGACTGAGCCACCCAGGCATCCCTAAATAAATCTTTTAAAGAGAAAGTTTAAGGGGAAGAGGAGGCCAAAACAATGCTGAGAAGGTTGTAGGTTGTGCCAATACTGACATTCTTCTCTATGCTTTAGAATGGAGGTAGAATTTGAGAAACCTAAGTGGTCAGGTATGAGAAAATACATTAATTCACTGCCAAATCCTTCCTCTAGCAGAGCAAAAATACAGTTGCTGGGGCGCCTGGGTGGCTCAGATGGTTAAGCGTCTGCCTTCGGCTCAGGTCATGATCCCAGCATCCTGGGATCGAGTCCCGCATCAGGCTCCCTGCTCCTTGGGAGCCTGCTTCTCCCTCTGCTTCTCTCTCTCTCTCTCTCTCCCTCTGTCTCTCATGAATAAATAAATAAAATCTTTAAAAAAAATACAGTTGCTTCTTGCATAATGAACTGCTTCCTAATCGTGCCAAATGTCCATTTTCCTGCTTTTCTTTGCATTCCAACCTGTGGCTCTGGAAGTACTAGCAACTTAGCACACAGTATTTGCAACAGTTGCACATGGTGACTGAGGAACATTTTGTAGTTCTAAGCCATTCATACTATTAACTTGTACACATGTAAATCTAGACATAAACTGCATGAACACAATATGGATTCTACAATGGCAGAGGAGAAGTAAACATTAGGATGGTGACTATGTTTATAAAAACATTTAACCAGTTTAATTATTAAAAATAGCTTCAGTATTATTTAAATAATTTTATTTAAGATAAATGTTCATTAATAATTCATACTTAATCTTAAGAGATTTTAATATTTCCAAAAATTTTAAAGGAAAAAAATTTCTTTTAAATTAGGCTCCACATCCATTGTGGAGTCCCATTCAGGGCTTGAACTCATGACCCTGAGATTAAGACCTGAGCTGAGATAAAGGACACTTAACTGAGCCACCCAAGCACCCCTAAAAAAAAAGAATTTGTTATATTATTTCATGTTTCTGATGAAAATGTACTCAAATCAGTATATTTTGAATACAATTACATATTGTTTTAATGCTTAAATCATACTGTCTATAGAACACAAAAGTCTTGATTGTAATATGTTAATTATGAATTTGAATGAATGAATTATGTTAAAATGAAAATAAAATTATGGACTATATACTAATTTCTGATTTTATAGGTAAATATTTTATTACTTATTCAAAATTCACCAATCATCAAATATCCATAATAAGTGAATTCAGTTATCTTTGATATTTTTCCAGCATTCAGTCATGAAAATAGCTTTACACATATTGGTCTACTTTGTTGCAATGATGTTTGTAAAAGACTAGAACATTTTATTTCATAATGTGAAAACTTGATTAAAAATTTAAATACTTAAAATATATTTTTGGGACATCAATGTGTACTCTTTTCCTAGGGCCAGCAACTGCAGGGACAGGCAGGCCCACTTCATTACACTTTTCTGTCTTCACAACTAAAACAACATGAATTTGAATTTAACAGGTAATTTACGAAGACATGAAATATAGCACAGAATTACTTATGGCCAAGAGACACAAAAATGCTAACGAGAATGGTTTAGTTCCCAGACTACCTTCCTGCAAGAAGTTGGTCAAGGAAAAGGAAAATTGATTAGGCAGACTTGAAAGTAAGGAAAATAGGGGCACCCCGGTGGCTCAGATGGTTAAGCGTCTGCCTTCGGCTCGGGTCATGATCCCGGGGTCCTGGGATCGAGCCCCACCTCGGGCTCCTGGCTCAGCAGGGAGCCTGCTTCTCCCTCACCTGTTCATGCTCTCTCTCTCTGTGTGTGTGTCTCAAATGAATAAATAAAAAAATCTTTAAAAAAAAAAAGTAAGGAAAATAAACCATTCAGGGAGTCCCCCCTCCCTCCCAAGGCTGACCACATATTAGCTTCGACAGAACCAAAAACTGAGCACCCTTCACTGGACAGGTCAAGTATTTGCGACTGAGAGGTTAAGGATAACTCTAGAAGGAAACAAAAGCCATACACTCATCTACACCAAGAGTAAACAAGCTAAAGCATCCTTAAGAAGCGCTATGCAACAGAACAAGGGACAGGAGATGACCTAAGAAACGCAGCACAGATTCAGACTTACCCAAGAGGCCTGTGGGGTTGTGCTTCGGTCTAAGCAAGCTTTGAACCCTGGGCTAAAATCTTTTTTACACTATTTCATGCTTTTGATGAAAATATACTCAAATCAGTACATTTTGAATACAATTATATTCAATGTGAGGGTATGAATGCGTATATATGCAGGCAAATACAAGGATTAGGGCTTTGACAACGACCCGACAACCTGACAAATAGGAGGCGCACCCTTTTCCCCCAAAGCCCAGGGGATCAGTACAAGGTCCGCGCTCCAGCGCCGCACCGACCGCTCATGTTTACAAACGCGGACAGGAGGCCAACCTGGACCCCGGACGAGGACCAGGGAGAAACACCGGCCTCCCTCCTCACTAGAAAGCACCCGCCGTTGAGCTCAGCGAACACCCGTGACGGCCTCGCCGCGGAGTCCGGCACACTCAGCCATTTTACTAGGAGCCCGGCGCGGCGGCGCTCGGGAACGCAGGCTGCGGTGCGGGAGGCAGGGCCAGCTCCCAGCCCAGCTAGCGGAGCCCCCGCGGCCGCCGCAGGTGGAAGCGCCGCAAGCCCCGCCCCGCCGCCCCAGCCAACCGCGGACGGCGGGGGCGGGGCCTGGACCCGCCACACCTGCGGCGGCCGGCCGGCGTGTCCGCACCACGTTGCCCAGAGCGCACCGCCCACGGCCCGCGGCCCGCCGCTCACGCCCGCCGCCCCGCCCCATCCGCGTCCCCGGCCCCTGCCGGCCCCGCGACCGGTGCGAGGCCCGCCCTGCCCACCCGGCCGGAGTCGTCCCCTCGGCCCCGCCGCCGCGCCGCCCCAGCCGTTTTCACAACGGCTCCGCCTCAACCGTCGAGAGGCTGGCCGTCCGCCCGCTCGCCCACCCGCCGCTGCCGGAGACCGGCCCGGCGTCGCGGCCCCCCTCCACGCAGCCCCGCTGTCAGAGAGGCCCGGCCCGGCGCCCGGCTCTACCTGCGGCTGGAGGAGGCCTCCCCGTCCGGCCCCGAGAGCCGCCGCTACGGCCGCCGCCTCGAGCCGCGTCTCTGGCCTGCGCGACCGCCGCGGCTCTTCAGGCGGCCGACGGTGGGCGGGAAGCGCCCGCCCAATCAGCGCCGCGTGCGTTCGGAACCGCGTCCAATCAGCGCGGCCCGCAGTCCAGGCTCCGCCCCTCGCACCCGTCGGCGACGCAGGGGTCGCCAGAGGCCGAAGCTGGCGGCGCCGCGGTGGGCGCGGCTCGGGGCCGGGCCGGGTAGGTGGGCCGCCGCGCTGCGGCCGCGACCCCTGCCCCGGCCCCCGCCCCCGCCCCAGAGGAGGCGCCGGCGTCCCTGCCTGGCCCCGCACTGCCCTCCCGCGGTGCGGACGCGCCCGGGCGCCCCACTTGCCTCTCTGCAGGACTCTGGCCAGTAGGGCAGGAGGGCGCGGGCGGGTCCCGGGGAGACCTCCGGGCCGCCCACAAACACCCTGGATGGCGACGGCTGGACGGGGTCGCGAGAACCTGGGGACACCTGCCGAGCCTGCGAGGGTGTGAGGGCCCGACTCCCCCCGACGGAGCCCGCGCTGCGGCCCACAGAGGATGGCCTAGCGAGGCCAGGCGGGTCCCCCTGGAGCCCCGCGCCCCGCGCTCTGCTGCCCGATTTGCTGGGACTGCCCCCTGCGGCGCTGGCCACGCCCACCTGGAGCCCCGCCCCCGGCGCCGCGCCCCCACCCCGTTTCCTAGAAGCAGGCGGGGCGGGCGTCCGCTGTCTTCCTTAAACAAACCTGAGACTCCTGGGGGACGTTAGGCTGAGGCCGCGTCGGCGCGGTACTGACCACAGTCATCGACAATGTATCCGGCGCGGTACTGAGCGCAGTCATCGACAATGTATCCGGCGCGGTACTGAGCGCAGTCATCGACAATGTATCCGGCGCGGTACTGAGCACAATCATCGACAATGTATCCGAGGCTTTTTCGAGCATTTCCACGTGAATTATAAGTTTAAATGATAAGATCAATGGATGCTTGCATGAAATAGGAAGCAATTCACAAACGGATACAGCAGACAAGCACTTCAGAATTTAAAGTACCGATCTCTCATCTTGCCACTTTTTAGTAGAGAAGAAAAATGCTAGGAATGCTTTTTGTGGAGTCACCGATCTGGAAAGCATGGGGATTGTTTAGTAAACCACCACATGGAAGATAAAAACAGATCATCTTATTTGAATTGTTCTTAAACAGGGTTTTAGAGTATAGTGTTAGATGGAAAACCTTATCAATCAATCACTATTGGATTTCCAATTAAATTTAACAAGCACATCCTTTAACGTCCACATTCCCGTAAGTGCAAGGCTTTGTACGGGGTGAGGGACATAACCAGGGGAAGGCAGAAACACACTCATTTCTCCACACGCAGGATTCAGTAAGCATTGAAAGAATCACTATCCCATACCCGACACTCCCTTAGAGCTTTCATCAGATGTTAACGCTGTTCTGGCCTAAAAGATTGCATTTGAGTTTCTCAAGGACATACACGACTGTGCTGCTGAAGCTGAGGTGCAATCCTACAATATTCCTTTTTTTTGGCAAGGCGCTAAATTTGATAGTTTTAGGAAGAATAAGACTTATGTATGAAAGGATTTAAACAAGAAGTTTCCAAAGTCTTGTTTCTATAATTAGACCACAAGAAAAACACATCTCAGATAACAATTTATGCACATACTTTAATATTTAGGCTTGAGTGAAATCATCTTCAATGACTTTAAAATATGTTTGGGGAAGACAACCCCACAATTGCACAATCCACTGCAAAATATTAACATCTAAGCAATATAACTATTTTAGGATCTGAAAGTTCTCCTTAAGCTGAACTTTATCAACTTCTTTATCAACTAGGCAGGTACATTTAGGTTTTTAAATTTTTAAATGTTGATTTTTTTAAAGGCACGTTGAGGTTCTCTTAGTATCGAAGATAAAACATTTACTGTATATTCTATGACCAGAACCTTTTTGACAAGTGACTTTAACATGGATATGACTCTTTACATGCCTTTACCCAACAATACATTCGGCAGCTCTAACTCTTATACCTGAATGCTCTGGACAATTGTCGTGCGCTCTGGGCTGGGGCCAAGGACACAACAGCCATGGCTCTCAACAGGCTTGCTGACCTAATTGGACATTTTATTAAACAGGAGGAAATGGAACCAGGCTTCTGTCTCTCTTGCATGTCAATGTAGTGCACAGTGCTAATAGCCAAAGGTTGTTCAGTTGAATTACAATACTTTAAATCAAAATTCAGTGTAATTATGAAAAGGTACCAAAGAAAGAGATCCCTCTTCTTGGAATTTTAGAAACACGGAAGTCGCAATTATAAAAATAAATTGGTTAAAAGGCAAAACACATCTTTTACATAGTGATTTGACAAGTGTCAATAAGTATTCAAAACTTTAGAGTTAATTCATTGGTGACAGCTATCACAAATTAATGACGCTGGTTTCAACTGCATCAGAACCAAACTTCACAAGGCCTTGTTCATCATGGCTGGGTTTTCATACCTCAGTGTTAGCACCTGCTGTCAGAGAGACCACCACTCAGCACCAAAAGAAATCATCAGTGCCTTGCTGGGAGTTTTAAGTCATCCTGGCATTCAGCAGGGGACAAAGGCCTTGACTTCTTGATTGGAGACAAAAAAACAAACAACAAAAAGGAAAAGCATTTAACATTTTAAAAACTGGGGCGGGGGAGTGGGGAGTCCAGACAACGTTAGAAACTCTCCTGTCTGAAGGCACAAAGAATAAAGTTGGCAGGTAGCTGATAAAACTGGAAATATATAAATACAATTTAAAATGATTAAAAAGTGTAAGTATTGGTGATTTTTCCTCCAGGGCTCCAGCTATTGATGAAAACCCCTGCCAGTTCCACTTGATAACCTGACTTCTGAAGTTTGGCCGCTGGAATTTTCTGACACTTGAGCAGACATAAAAAGAGTCACCTTAGTCGTCAAAAAGGTATTGCAAAGGGCATTGTTGCCTGAAATTTTTCTACAGAGTTGCCTGAAAATGGAAATAACTTAAGGCAAAATTTCTTAAAATGTTTAGGTAGTCTCAAACCTAAACAGAATGGCCTGATAACATGCAGATACATAATTATCAAAGACAAGAAAGGGAACACAGGAAGTGAGAGGAGAGACTGTAAGAGAAGGGACTGTTTTGCTAGTTTTCAAAGTCAAGCTTTTCCCCCTTCCTTGGCTGTGGATGTAGAAGACACACGGCCTAACCAGGGCAGCCTGAACTCCCAGGAATGGCTGTGTGATGACTGATGAGGCATAAATTTCTTGCCTATTAATAGTTCCCCACTGTCAGAAGTCTACAGATATTGGCAACCAAACCTAGTCTCAGGTTTTCCTTGTCCCAGGGCAGAAATGCCTCAAGGGACCATGATGGGAGTCACACCATACATTCTGTTTACAATGCGCACAAAACACACAGGACTTATTTTTTAGCTTCTTAAATCCAGAAAGTTCCTGAGAAGGCATCCAATAAGGGTAAGATGTTCCAACATCACAATGATAAATAACAGCTACGTTTACAGAGACCCAGTCAGGACACATGCAAAAGCCACAGGCTTTCCTAGTAGGAGGATGCAGACCTTTCCAAAAAATCAACCAAGCAACCAACCAACCCAGCCTGCCTGGACCCTCTCCAGAGGGGTAGACACGGCTATGCATCCACCCACCCCGCACCCTCCCCCAGCGCATTATACAACTTGGCCTCCCGGCCACCTGAGGCTACTTTGTAGAGCTAGTGACACAGACATTTCGAGTAGAGAATGGGAAGGGCCACCGCCCAGGGACTTGAAGCGGGAAGTGAAGTCAGAAGACTCAGGCTGGGGTTGGGGTGTGCGAAACAGTAGCCGCATGGACTGGAGAGCCCAGCTAGGGGACCACTGCGGCCGCCTTCAGATGAAGTGGATCCAGCTCTCTTCGCACTCCCCGCGAGGCATGTGCAGTGCATGGTTGCGGCACGTGAGGCTGTAGTCTCGGCCATGGTTGTTGTCCCAGTACTCGGTGCCCGCTACTCGGTAGCGCAGCGCAAAGTGCACGCGCGAGCCCAGCGCCAGCAGGAAGGGCGGCACCGGGAAGCCGAAGGCGAAGACGTCCTCTGTGCCCTCGGAGCCCGCGGCCCCGCGCCACCGGGCCACCGCCTCATGCGCGCTCTGCCAGTCTGAGAAGGTGTAGCGCACCGCCACCTGCTTCTCAAAGGCCACGTTGCGCACGCGCACCGTGCCGCTGATGCCCAGGTCCGAGCAGGTGACGCGCTCCAAACAGACGAGCTGCCGCCCCAGGCGCTCGCCGAAGTCTGCGGCCTCGATGGGCGGCAGGAAGTCGGGCACCAGGCACCGCAGGGTGAACTCCAGGTCCTGGCTGCTGCAGCACAGGTCCGAGTTGATGGCGAGGCGCGACAGCACGTGCAGCGGCACCGACGGGTCGTCGCCCGCGTTGAACACCTTGACCTGCGCCAGCTCCAGGCCCAGCGCGTCCGCGAAGCGCACGCGGAGCTGCCGGCTGCAGCCTGGTCGGCAAGCGGCTCCGGACGCGCCCCCGGCCTTCTGGCGGCGCTCGGGCGAGCTGGGCAGCGAGCGCGCCCGCCGCAGGATGATGGGCCGAAGGCCAGGGTCGCAGCCTGACGGCTCCGGCGGTGGAGGTGGCGCGCGGCCCGGGCTCCCGGGGGGCCTGCAGGGCTGCGGCTCCCGGGCGGCGCCGCCGTCCAGGTCTGAGAGGCAGCTGAGGCTCCGCGGGGCGGGCTTCCGGAACCCCGGCGCGGGGGGCAGGGCCGCCGAGCCCCAGCCTCCGGACATGGCCCGGCCGGCCGTCGGGCGACGGGGAGGCGGAACCGAGAGGCGTTCTCCGGACCCGGCGTTCCCTACCTTGGGGTCCCCGCCGTGTTCAGAATTCCCTGGTGTCCACCGAAACCGCGGCCTGCAGGGAGCCTCTGGGGCCGGCTGTGCGCTCCCCCCGTCCGCCAACGCGCCCCCCGAGTCCTGGCGCAGGTCTTCCGCCTCTTGCAGCGAGAAAGGAGATCGTCTGCCGAGAGATGAGTGCTTTCTCGGGGGGAGGCTTTTCCGGGACCCCCGGGAGCGCAGGGTGGCGCCTCCCTTTGGCTTCCTCCGAGGTTCTTGGGGGAAGGCTGCGCCGACGGGGCCGCCCCTCCCACCTTCCCCGCCCGCTGCGCTACTTACATGGCTCCAACTTGTCCCGGAGCAACTTCCTGGCGAGCCTGCGCCCCGCCCCTCGTGACGCCGCCGCGCGCCGTCCCCGCCGGCCGGGCACAGCCGGGGAGCCCGCCGCGCCGCGCGCCGCCGCCGCCCCTGCCCTGCCGCAGCGCACCGCAGTCCGGCCTCCCCGCCCGGCGCCGGGGAGGCTGGCGGGCGGCCTCGTCACGTGTCCTCGGCGATCGCCGAACAGGTCTGATCAATTTCTGTCTGCATCTGCCGGGTCCCTGCACCTATCGATCGTGGATCTGTGTCTGCACCAACCGAGGACGAGGAAAATGCATGCTGCGGGCCCTTGGATTTCTGGGTTACTGGGGGGGGGGGGGGGTGGAGCGGTGCGCAAAAATTGGCCTTTCCAGAAGCTGGTCCCTGGCTAATTTGAAGCCTGTAGGCTAGCCAGCTCTTTGGACGTCTGCACTGCAACCTGAAGCCCCGGCCAGACCGCGGGAGCCTCGCTGCGTAGAGGTCTGGCGTCTTGACCACACATCACCCACAATGCTTTGCCGCGGACCGCCGCCAGTTCCCTGGAGGGTGGGGAGGGGGGCGGTGCTGCAGCTGTCAGTCTCCTGGCGCCTGGCCCGAGAGGAAGATGTGGGAATCAGAGTTAATGCCCTGTGATGAATTATGCCACTGCCCTTAATCGGCCGCTGGCGCTGGGGAAGCATTTTTGTAGCCAGAATCCCAGACTCTTAGCTTTGTTCCGCTGCAAGCCTGAACCATCAGGGAAACCGCGAGCTTGCTTTCTGCACCTTAGGACCCTGCAAGCATTCTTTGCCTATTTCACTCTGTAACCTGCCCACAAAACGCTGTCTCTTACCGTGTAAAGCATGCCAGGTGAAATGAAGTGGGAAAGGTGGAAACGCGCTCTCCAGACAGCAGTTTGGGGCCAGGCATCTTGGAGGGTTCCTTTTTACTGTACAGAGGGACAAAGCAGAAGGAAAATCAAACTATTGAGGCGGGTTGGCAAAGAACCTTCTCTACATCTAACATAAATCCAGCCTGGGGTATAAGTCATTAACTGTGAGAACCTGTGTACCCTGGCTAAAAAGGCATACACGCTTATGAAAAGTAATACAGCAGCGTTTCAGGAAGAAAAAAGTCTTCTATCCCACCTCTTGTCTATTTTACAGATACAGATAGGGGATATTATGGAAGAAAGTATTCACTTTTCAATCAGGACCCTTTTAGTAGGCCACCCACTCAAAATCAGGGAAAGCAGCATTCTTGATATGAGTCAACAGAATTTCACAGAGATAACATTATATGATCTGTACTACTATATTGACGATCTTTAAATGGATTGATGTGATCCTGAAGGCAGGAGAATTTAAGGGGAGCTTCCCCAATAGAGTGCCTGTTCCATGAGAGCTGGGATGTGCGCATAATCCCGGCCATTTTGAAGGTTCTCTTGTAATTACTTGAATGAATGAATGAATGAATGAATGAATGGACATGGGAGATTGGAGTAATACCCGACCTTAATTATTAATTAGCCCTACACATTTCCTGAAGGTGTTATTTCCGAGGAGGCTCTGTGTGTGTGTGTGTGTGTGTGTAAGGAAAGAGAAGGATTCATTCCATTGGCAACATTTATAGCAGTGTGATTTTGTATCTAATATCCACTGTGAAAAACAAACAAGCAGAAAAGATGAAACTGTAAACCGAAGGCAGTACCAGCCCCCCCCAACATTTCAATACTGTGCAAATATTTCAAAACAAACCAGTGAAAGTAAGCCCAGTACTGGGGGCAGAAGCCTTTGCAATCCATACTTACCCACAGTGTTCTGTTGCTTCCAGTTCTGGTGGTGAGGAGTCCTTTCCAAATATAAGAGGAATAAAGAAGTCACTTCCCCAGCTGTCATCATCTGCCAACACATTGAGCAAGAATATTTCAAGCACTACAGAAAAGGTGATGTAAATTTTGAGGGAAAATCTTACTAGATTTGTTCTGCTGTTGTGTGTGTGTGTGTGTGTATGATGTTGTTGTTGTTGTCACAGTATTTACTACTCCATGTCTGGTTTTTTAGACAGTCCAGCAAACCCTAGAAGATGATCGGCCATCCGATTTTTTCAAGAAAGGGAATAGGGTGACGAAATCTCATCAGAAAAGCAGGTAAATGATTTTAATTGCTTTATCTTGCAAAAGGTACATTATATCAGTTCTCCAGGCTGAATATGTGTGGCTGGAAATAAAATAATGTCTGTGGGCAGAAATGAGTGGGCAGAGTGGTTTTAAACATTAAGAGTTAGTAAAAATTCCAGAGGTCATACTTCTGCCACGTTAACTGTTAGCAGAGTCTATCATTTTGGGTAAGCCCCTTAGTCACCCTTCTATGATTGTTTCCTTTTTTTTATAAAGAGGATACTGATCATCACTTTTATTGATGTGCACTGACAGAGTCAACAAAAGTTATAATAGGATTGGTTATGAGTTCCAAATAAGGACAATTCCTTTATCCATTTCTTCAACATATACTGAGCATGTGTTAGCTATTCACCATGATTCAACATTTTCTGTATTTATTAAGAAATCACGTATTTTCAAACGATTGCTTACTGTGGTAGAAACCACTGGGCAAGTGAACCTCTGAGGTTTCCAGAAAGCATGTTGACCACTCATTTTCTTTTACCCTACCTGACTTATATTCCTGAGAAGTATTATGAATCCTAGTGAGATGCTATGCTTTGGGTAAACACACAGCAAAGAAAGTATTTTCAACTCTGATAGGAGATCCTGCCTCAGAGTGAATCCTCCTGGGGGAACCCAGTTGCTCTACTAGTCATTATTCCCATTTCTCCACCATTCACAAGACAGCAGTAATCTTGTTTTCATTCATTCTCTGTTTTAAGGCACCATATGATTTTTTTCTCTCTCCTTTTAAACTGTTTTCCTGAGTGTTTCCTATTTGAAAATACTTTAATAAGCTTTTGATTTGAGGTATAGGTTGTCTGTACTACACTTTTGATATTAAGATTTTAGACGGCTCAGAAACACCACCAATCGTGATTAAGTTGTATAAAACTTGCATTTTACACCTTGTTTACTTTTCATGGAAAACAGCCTTGAAAAAGAAAAGCTGTAGGGGGGCGCCTGGGTGGCTCAGTTGGTTAAGCGACTGCCTTCGGCTTCGGTCAGGATCCTGGAGTCCCGGGATCGAGTCCCACGTCGGGCTCCCGGCTCAGCGGGGAGTCTGCTTCTCCCTCTGACCTTCTCCCCTCTCGTGCTGTTTCTCTCTCTCTCTCTCTCTCTCAAATAAATAAATAAAATCTTAAAAAAAAAAAAGAAAAGCTGTAGGGGCACCTGGGTGGCTCAGTTGGTTAAGCATCTGCCTTTGGCTCAGGTCATGCTCCCAGGGTCCTGGGATCGAGCCCCGCATCGGGCTCCCTGCTCGGCGGGAAGCCTGCCTCTCCCTCTCCCACTCCCTCTGCTTGTTGTTCCCTCCCTCACTGTCTCTCTCTGTCAAATAAATAAATAAAATCTTTAAAAAAAAAAAGAAAGACAAAGAAAGCTGTAGCTTTTACTCGCTAGTGTCATTAAACATTGTTCATCAATAGCAGAACAGATTGAGAGTTTACAACAGATTTTCTCCAAACTGGTGTTTGTTTTGTTTAAAGTGTACATGACTGGTCTAAAATTATAAGCACTTTAAGAAATGTCAGTATTTTTCTTAAATGATACTATTTGATATGAAACAGAATCCATGCATCTCCTTTTGGCACCTGCGTCCTATGATTGTTTCCTTTTTTTATAAAAAGGATACTGATAAGTGTTTCTTGACTAGAGGCCGGTGTGGCCCGTTGCCCCTCCCAGGGACAGCGCCGACTGCAGCCCGAGGAGTCTGTTTAATCACAGCCAGACCTCTTTGTGTCCTATGAACTAAGAATTACAGTTTTATTTCTCACAGCAATATGAATGCTGGCCCATCTTGGAACAAAGTACAACGTTCAAAAAACCCTTCAGGAAAAAGGCGGAGTCAGTTCCAAGTGCCCCACGTGTCCTCCCAGCCTCCTGCGGATGGACTCCAGGAAAGCGGTTCCCCAGAAGGAAAACCTGAAAGGAGCCCACTGGGCCCCCGGCGGCGGGGCGCCTCGGGGAATGAGCTGTTTCTGGACCTGCCCTGCGTGAAAATCCTGAAGGAGGGTGCGGGCGAGGACGACGACAGCGCCAGCGACCTGTCGGACTCCGAGCGAGTGCCTGTGCCGCCGTCCTCGCGCGCGCCCCCGGAGCTGCACCTGCGCGCCGAGGAGATCGACGCCGCGGACCCCGGTCCGGACCCCGACGCGGACCCGCAGGGCAGCGCGCAGCCCGCCTACCACTATGCGGACTTCCTGCCCGCCCCGTTCAGCTCCTGGGACCTCCGCGACCTGGCTGTGCCGCCCGGCACTGAGCCCAGGCCCGCAGCTCGGAGCGGCGCCGCAGGGCTGCTGGCCAGGTACATCGACAGGCTGGCCCAGCTCGAGTGGCTACAGATGCAGACCGTCCAGGGCGAGAAGGGGAAGGGCGCCAAAGCCAGGCCTCCCACTGCCCCCGGCTTGTCCACGTCCGGGGCTCTGAAAAGCCCCGGCAGAAGCAAACTAGGGGCCAGTGCTCCGGCCAGGCCTCCCCAGGAGGGGGCTTACAAATTGGGCGCTTCCGGCGCTTCCCGGAGGAAGGAGCTGCCCCGCGAGGAAGCCAGGCCCTCCTATTACGCGTTTGACACGACCCCCAAAGCCCTCCACGTGCGACGGGGCAGCAGGCCAAGTTCTCGGAAGCCAGCCCTCGACATGACGGCCGAGGAGCAGAGAAAGAAAGAGAGTAAGAGCCCCAGACTCCAGCGCTGGGACCTGCCCTGCAGTGATGGCGGTGGCCCTGGCGTTCCCAGGCAGGGGGTGACCGCTCGGGACTCCGCCGACCCCGGTGGGCCCCCCAGGCCGCAGGCACACGCGGGCCTGCAGAAGAAGGGCGGTGCGAGCAGGTGCGCCCACGCCACCACATCCAGCGAGAAGAAACCCAAAGCCAATGGAGTAAAGCAAAGCACATACAAATTCAAGTAAGAACCGAAATGATGCACTGCAAAGCCCTGCCGATAGCTAAGCGTCAGAGTTCTTCCGAAAGTTAGCATACTGTGAATTTCTGATGACCCACATGTGAGTCGTCGAGGGGTCCCGTGGGGGCAGCCTCACCTCACCCCAGCCACATTGGGCTTCTTTCCAAAGAAAGGTGGCTTTCAATGAGCCTTTCTTTGTGTTGACCATCTTAAGCAAATGAGAGCCCTTTAGATAACACTTAACCCAGGTCTGCGCCATATAACGACATACAATGACGGGGAGACAGGTGTAAACTGGACGTAGCAGCCAGCCCCGCACCCTGGCCCGTGGCGCTGTCCAGCTCCCCACAGCCGCGCACCCGCACCCACAGGTAGAAGGTAGTGCATATACCGCTTTCAACGTAGACTCTGAAACGTTTGAAATAGGGTCTTGGTGTCCTTCTTCCAAACTGTCCAGACAGAAGTCCTGTCTACTTCAGGCCCAGGAAAGGCTCCAGCCCTTCCTCAGGTTCAGGAGCCTCTCCTAGGAGCAAAGTCATGAACACTGAGCTGCTCGTTCTTTCCAGACAATGGAATCTAATACTTTCATAGTTTGGGGTCTTTTTTTTTTTTTTTTTTTTAAGGCATTTTAAACTCAGAGGTGGTGGTAAAGTGCACCTTTGTGTTCTCTACCCCGAGGTTAGAGCAGAGCCCAGACTTGGTCCAGGTGTGAGTCAGTGGGTCTCAGCAGGACCGTTCCCGCCTGGTGGGAGCCCAAAGTGGAACCTTTGGCCCCTGAGTGTTTCTGACGTAGGTGTGGCTTCTGGAAAAGGTGTGCAGTAAAGCCACTGTTTGGAGTGTGTACAGGGAAGGCCTGCAGCCACAGATAGACATGAAAGCACTGTGACCATCACAGTCATTTCATACTGATTTGGGACCTGGGTCCTGCTGTCCGTAGCTGACATAATCCATTTTACTTTGCAAGAGCAGGATTTTATCACCTTGCTTCAGGGCAGAGGCGTGAGGACACCTTTCCAGATGGAGCGGGGAGTGTCTTCTTAACATCCTTACCGGGTCCCCTGGCTCCCCTGCTCTTCTGGATGCTTCTTATGTAACCACCACTAAGCCAGGTCTATGTGCGCCTCTAGTCACACTGTGAGGTTTCTGCTGATATTGTAAATATCTTTAAAACCTTTGGTTGACCACTGGATATACAGTATGTTTTAATGACTGTGGCCGATTTTCTCTCTTTAAATGAGGTATTTGTTTTCATCCATACGTGTTTCTATTTTTTCACCTTTAGGGCAAATTAAGAAGCTGGCACTTTTCCTCTGGAAATGCGTACTAGCTTGCAGACTCCACCAAACAGACAATGTCATCGAAGGCCTTTCAGTTAGTAGGATAACAACCAGAGACATTTGTAAATGAAATGATGTGCACAAGTTAAATGTTAAGATCCCGTTTTAAAATCTGACTTTACAAATATGAAACAGCATATACAGATTTTTAGGGCCGTTTTCTTTTCTCCCAGGACTTGACATCTAGATCTTCACGGATTCTGTCTTACGTTCTTTACCTTTCACACCCCCCTATTGGAGAGAGCATGCTGTTACACGAAGATCTTGTACCTTTATTATGTGGGTAAAAACGCACATCTAGTGGGCCTTACTTCCCTAATTCTCAGTTATATTGTAACTTATCTACTCAGTGTATGCACTGCAGTTTGAAACCCTAGCACTGCCCTGACTGCACCCTTCTGTGGTTGCTGCGTGGCGTCCCCTGTGCCCTTTGCCTGCACCCCTCCTTGTGAACGCAGGGGGACTAGTCCTTTGTACCTAGCCAGCACGGCCCCTCATTCGTGATGCTTTCTCAGCTACCATGTTTATGTAGCTCTTTAGAACATTTCAGGGCTGATAAATCTCCATAAGCACATCATATACGTACACATACGGCCGTTATTAATACTAAGGGGTTTCGGTGAGCTGCTGCCTTCTCCAGGAATGCTGTGTGTGGGTCCCCTTGGAGGCCCTGCTGGGTGAAGGCCCCGTGTTCACTTTGCCTTGTGGACGTCTGAGCCAAAGACCATCCTGATTAGGAAATTGAGAGGCGGTGCCTCGGATGTCACATTTGTTCCTTGCTCTCTGAATTGAAGTCGGTTGCCTAATTTGGGGAACAGTTACAATGTCACATGTTACGACAGTTTGAAAAGCCTGAAAAAGTGACTTTGCTTATTCACGTTTTTGCCTCAGGTTGATGGTTTATTTTAACCAGGATTCTTGCGATTGGATCAGAGCTCCTGATGAACAGCAGGGGCTCACTAGAGAACATAAGCACAATTTCATTCCCACGGTTTCCGATCCCCACCCCTGACACAGCCTCCTGTTCTAAATGCTGCAGACAAGAATCCTGCCGCTTTCCCGCAGACAGCGCCCGAGAGTGGAGTCCTGGCCTCCTGCGGTTGGTCACGTCTAAGCCACCCAGTGTCCTGCTAGTCTGGGGACGCATCATTGTCTTCAGAGAAGTGCCTCTCATTTCTGGGAGTTGTTGACATACATGTTGTGTTTAAACCAACTAAAATAATCCAAGGTTTAAAAAAAAAAAAGGTGTAGAGAAAGTTAAGAGCTACTGAAGGTTTAGAATCAGTTAATGGAAAAAGTTGTAAAAACATACAAGAACAAACTGTAAAAACCTATCAGTATTAGCTACAGTTCTTTAGGTTGAGACTATTTCTCAACTCCTTAAGGACCACACTGGCTGAAGGTTCGTAACTGACTGACAGGGCAGGGTGGGTTCCTGTGATGACAAAGATCGTTGGTCTCACAGCAGCTACAGGCTGAAAGGAGGAAGGCTTGTCCTGGTTCTTAAGCCAGTAGGCTAGTTTCCCAAAAGACGGAACAATCTCCACCTTTCATGATGTAAATGCTGTATTTCCTCTTTATGCTCACTTACTTAGGTAGTTAAAAATAGAAAACTCTAGATGGTACTGTGTTTCAAGGTAACAGAGAAGCAGTATTTATGATTTATTCATGTCCGTGTACAGAGGTCCATTTCAAAAGGCCTGACCCAATCGAGCATGTTTGTTATTTGCTGTTAAATTATTGTATGCTTGGTTTTGTACATAATAAAACGAAACGTGTCTAAGTTTTTGTGAGGCTGGATTTTTCCTCTCTTGAGGTCAGTTAAACAGTAGGAGATGTTGCCTGGTCTTTCAGGCATGGTTTTGTTTTGCTTTTCGTGGAGTTCTCTTCCTGAGTTGGTCTCATTTCTGCCTGTTCATCTCACAGATCCGCTGGGCAGGAGACTGCGCCGTGTCCTTTCTTAACACTCAGCAGCGCACCTGCCGACCTGACTGGGTGCATCTGAGAAGCACCACTGGTGTTCTCCCGAGGCCCTCTTCCTCTTGTTCCCCCGAAGGTGTCCAACAGTCAGGGAGGCAGGAGAGAAATTCACTAACAGTAAAGTGACATGAGAGGAGCTCACGCGCCAACGGGCCCCTCCCGGACTGAGCGCCCGCGCTCTCCAGGAGCGCACCTGGAGCCGGGAACATTCGCAAAGGCCCCTTCCTCCTTTTTCTAAACTCCCTTCTGACAAGAAGGGGCATTCTTTTGAGTCTACCAAATAGTGGTAGTTTAAACATAATTCCGGGGGCATTAAAAAGCAAAATCCCACCAAGAAAATTTTATAGATCTCATTGGCTTTATTTAATGATGCATGAGTCAGGCAGCATCCCAGCCAGCAGGTGGAAAGGAGCTCCGAGGAGTGGGCAAAAGGAAGGACTTCTAAAGACAGAAGGGAGTGGGCACATGGAAGTTGTACTGGGCAAGAAGGTGGCTGGGTGATTGCAAGCTCACTTTCCTTTCGGGGGTGGCCAGGGTCTTACCAGGTGAATGGCCTCCCTAGTGCTGATTGGGTGACTCCTGACTGCCTGGTTGAAGATCCCGCTCTGGGAGAGCCCAAGCTCCGAATAAGGCTGGGTTCTGTGGCCGGCTGGGCAAAGTCACCCCATGTGGGCCTGTGGCCTTTTTATCAGCAGGTTTAAAAGTAAACTTCCTGGTAGTTGGAAAATTAACCATGTTGGGGGTTTTGAATCATAAATTTGTACATAAAATGGTAGGTTATTCTTGGATGTTGCTGTTTTATTATCCATAAGGTGGCAATGAAACCTCTCGACCTAACGTAAAACCACCTCAGTCTAAATGTCTCCTTGTTTGATTAAGATCATACAACTATATTAAGCACAGAATAATGGTCAGTGGAGGAACATAGATCATTAATCTGTAAAAATCTTCCTAGAGACCCTGCTTCAAACAATAGGGTCCAAATATCCCTGTCCTCAGCAATTTGCTGTTGAAGGAATTAACTGTGATAACACTGGGAAACATATGTGGAATTTTAAAAATGGGGTAGTCATGAATAGAACTGTCCCAGCTCAAATGATATTTTAGAGAAAGCCAATGCACATCTCACTTGTGACCCCAGGCAGTCAGCACGGTTCCGTGGCCCTGCTCCTCCCGGGGTGAGCCCTGCCTTGGCACCTGCTGCAGGTGAAGGAGTTCCCAACACGCCGCCCTGAAATCCGCCGCCCGGCACATTGCCTCCCTTGAGTTAAAGGCACTTGAAAAACAGCAAGTTGAAGAAAAGCACTTACCTTTCTTCTTTCTCTTCAAAGCAGGAGATGAAATTCCTGTAGGAGAGAAGTCCTCCTGGTGCCAGAAAGAAAGAAACATTCTTACTGCCGGGGATGAGAAGCGGTGACCGAGAAGAATTCTGCACAGATTTTGTCTGTTAGAAGGCTCTCATCTTCCTTAGTCTCCCCACATAGCCGAGGACGTTTTCTGCAGCTGCCTCTCCTTGTTCAACCTATTAGCAAAGCTGGGGACTCCCACCATTTCTCCGGGCCCTCATTCCTTCTCAAGCCCCTGCGTCTTGCAGAACTGGGATTCCACAGTCGGTCTGCTTTTTCCTCCTGTTGATCTGTCTTACGTCGACTTAATTCTCAGCACCAGCCAAAAAGGACCCAAAGAGGTTGCAGGGGAGCAGTTTGCCACCACAAAATATTTTTAAGGGACAGCACAGCCACAGGAGAAGCTCTGAAAGCTGAGTGTAAGAGATGCACAGGGGGGTCCCCGTGTGTTGGGGGCATGTCTCTCTCTCTCTGTACCAGAAGAGGAAGGACCCTAGAGATGCTTATCGACTCTTATCTCATTAAGGCATGGAATTAAATCTGTGAAACAGCCGTACCCATTTATTGTGCTTTTCCTGGTAACCTCATGGGGTAGAATCCAGTGATTCATCAGTTGCATGTAATGCCCAGTGCTCATTCCATCACATGCCCTCCTTTGTGCCCATCCCCCAGTGGCCCCATCCCCCAACCTACCTCCCCTCCAGCAACCCTCAGTTTGTTTCCTAGAGCTCAGCATCCCTTATGGTTCACCTCCCTCTCAATTTTCATCTTATTTTTCCTTCCATTCCCTTATGTGGAATTTAAGAAACAAAACAAATGAACATCTTCTGTCTTTAGCTGGAGGTGGTATTTAAGGAGGCAGCATGAACCATTTCAGGGAGTTCCTTGGTCTTCCTGGGGTGTCTCCCACATGTACAGGGGGCATACGTGTTATTAAACTTCTGTTTGTTTTTCATCTGTGAATCTGTCTTTTCTTACGGGAGGTCTCAGTCGAGAACCTAGAAGGGTAGAAGTAAAATTATGTTCCCTCTATTTTGACGGTAAAGGTCAAATTTTACCTCCCGTATAGTATAAAAGTCTGCATCTGAACGAGACCCTTGGCAGTTCACCAGACACCCGCCCTCATACAGTAAGGGAAGGGACTGTGCTTTGGTCCCGTGTTGCTCACTTTTCTAACTACTGGAATGAAATGCTTTTTCCTTGTAGGTCTTATACAATAATGAGAAGAATGATCTACCAGGTTCAGCTGAAGATGTTCTAATTAAAAGAAGTATGTATTTTTCCCCCTGCTCAGGACAGTTTTGACGTGAGAAGATACACTTAGTAGCCTCAAATTTCTCTCTTCCCCTCCTTTTCTCCTTTCTTCCCTGAAAAAGCATAAAAACATTCACATACACAAATAACTGAAAAAAGAGCTCGGTGCTTCCACTATCAATATAATTAGTATAAAATATACTTGCAAAAAGCGAGAAACACTCCAGTCTGTTATACTTGCTGTGTTCTCCCTCCGCCCACCCCCGTTTGCTCACCTACAACTACTAGTTGAACAAATAGGGGCAAGAGACTAACGTTTCTCCAAGGAAATGTTCCGGGCAGCCCTTGGTGGCTGACAAAATACTAAAACAAGGACCACATTTTCTCCTCGGCCCGTGTGGCTACCGCAGCAGCAATGTGGGGCAGATGAAAATGTCTCGGTCCCTTAGAGCAAATCAGGAAAGACAAGTGAGGAGTTGTTTTATCCTCACGGGAGGTCTACACTTCAGCTCTTACACATGTCAGGTATTGGGGTACATGTGTTAGATGCACACTAGGAGACACTAGGCTCAGAGTGCACTTAATAACAACTTGGGTTTTTCAGTGCTGGAGTCAGATTCACTTTTCTGATTTTTTTCCCGCCAGCATCATGTTATGAAAATTTTCAAACATCCAGAGAAGTTGAAAGGCTTGTACAGTGAACGCCCACATGCTCACTGTGTGGACGCCACCGCTCATGGCTTCTCCGCCCTGTCCCCCCACCTTCCAGCTCCGCATGTGCGGCTGTGTTCCGTGTTTCTGTGACCGCCTTCCACACTTCCACCGAGGTTGGTTCGCCCCGTGCAGAAGGTGTCCAGACGTCACACTCTGGGCCTGTCTGCACCTCCCCGCACAGCAGCCCTCTCGGGAGCAGCAAGAAGGCTCAGCTCACCACGCCCCTTCTTTGACATTTACTTGACCGGCAGGGGAAGGTCTGTCTCCTGGCCCGCAGGATGGAGGCGGCGTTGGGTACTTTTCCTGCACCCTCTCCAGGTCCTGCTGTCTGCCTCAGCGCCCTTCTCCTTAGCTGCGCGTGGGCCCGCTCAGCCCGACCGCTGTCCAAGTGTTGCTGGGATGGGGCTCCAGGCCCCCAGCCTTGCAGTCACCCCCACCCATTACCAGGGACTCCATTCCCTAGAAAAATCCAACCCACCGACTGCCCGAAATGGAAAGAAAGCTTCCCATCCCTCCCCAGTTGGGGGGGGGGGGGCGGGGCAGGGCAGCTCCAGCTACAAATGAGGCGAGCAGAAAGCAGCCGATCCCCGGCCCCGGGACCCCTCACGTCCACGGCCACAGTGGCAGAGGGCGGGCTGGGGGTGGGTGGGTGTGACGGGACCAGTTCTGCCATGTTTTGGGGGTCCTAAAGTGTCTGGTCTTAATTGTTGGGGTCTCTTAGAATGTCGTGAATGTGATGCTACCTCGTTTTCAGTTAAGGTCCTACTCACCAATTCCTAGGCCAGTAGAAGTCTTCCTTCCATGCTGCAGAGATGGAGGAACAATGTGTTCAAGCTGCCTTCACTAAGGATCCCGAAAAAATGACACAGCGAGTGCCTGGCGTTGGCAGGAACCTTGCCTATCATGGATGATTCGAGACAAAATTAATCCTCAGCAGCACTCATGATGTGCTTGTCGCTATAGAGAATCCTGGGAGCTGGAGGTGAGGCTGTTGAGTCCGGGTAATTAGCGCTCGTTCCTTCCTTTTCCACCACTTGCACCCACGTTGCGTCTCTCAGGTTCCGTGCATCGGGGAGCTGCCCCCTTGTGGCTGCAAAGTATTAGTGCACGTCCTAGGACACAGGAACACTAGAGTCTGCAATCACAGATGCTCAGGATGGAGAGGGAACCTTGACACCTTCTAGGTCACACTCACCTGAGACGTGCCCTGCGGCAGGTGAAGCCCACCACCGCTCAGCCCCAGTGAGAGAAAGACGGCCTTAGGGGAAGCCGACATCTTGCTCCGTTACTTTTCAGTGTTTGAGGTTGTTGAAAATTTGGCTGTTTCTAATATATGAAAAGACCAAGTTCTTTCAACTGCAAGACATGTAAAAATAGAGCCATTTCCTCACATCCCCAGCCCCTCTCCAGATCTCTGGAGGCCGGCTTACTGTCCTTCTCGCTCGATGTTATCTCTCTCAGCACTACTCCATGGAAGGGCTGCCTACCCTGCATCTTCTTTTTCTCCCACAAACATTCGACATGGTTTAGCTTATCTGATCTATGAATCCTGAATTAACGATTCTAACTTAATCACATTTTCTGTAGACTACCATGGAATAAAAATACCCACTTGGAAAATAAGCATGAAGTTGTAAATTCGATAATTATTATTCCATTTCTATTTATGCACGCGAAATAGAGACCTTAAAATTGCATTTGTTCCTCTTTCCAATAATAAGCTACTGATTCAGATTCAGACAAATTCCTCAAATGACAGTGTTGAGCAGCATCTCACGGAGCTGTGAATGCACAGGAAGGAAGGTTCCCTTCTCCTACCTTCTCCATCTGCTAAAGAACTGTTTGTTATTTTAAACAAGGTGTGGTAACAAACTATGATGTTCAGGTCATCTGGTTACTGGATCTCCGATTTTGTTTTAAACTCAGTCATTGTGACCTTAAGTGTCGATTGCGCAGAATCCTTGCTTGCCTTTTTCCCCCCTGGTATTCTAGTGCCAAGACCCCCAGTTTGGCACAGAGAGGCCCCCACCTGTAGGGCGTCTCTCTCCATCTCTCCATCCTCCAATCCCAAAGTCACAAGGGCAGAGTCAGCTAACTTAGCAGAGATTTGGGTAGAAATCTCAGAGCCCTGAGACATAGCTGGGATAAAGATCCGCTGGTGCTTTGGAAAGTGAAAGCATTTGGGTTTCTCTCCTTACTCAAGTCCTTCTTTCTTGGAGTCCTTTTTCACTGCTCTCCTTTCAAATCATAGGGGTTATAGGAAAGAGTCATTAAAATATCCTGCTTCAGACAGAGATTGTGGGGACTTTTACTTGGAACAAAAGACAAACAAACAAAGAACAGGTGCTGGTGTCACATTCCCCAGGCTCGGGTACTCCCCCGGGGTTGGGTTCCAGCCTGAGTCTGTGCATGTGAGCAGGGCGTGTTTCATTCCTCTCCACTCCCTTCCTGGGAACTCGGCTGTCACCGTGAGGTTAAAGCTCAAGGCTCAGCCTAGCCCACTCTAATAAATACAAGTGCGGCTGGGACAGAGGGTGGGAGAGAGGAGACCAGAGTGCCAAGGATAGGAGTGTCCCCGGAGCAACAGGAGACCTGGGCTGGGAAGGAGGTGATCGGTGATTGGAGGCCTGGCTGTGGGGGACATCGGCCGCCTGGGGGACCTGTGGTCACCTGCATGCGTCCCCACATGGACATGGGCTCCAGTGGCCACACCTCACTGCTCCTGCTTCCAGTGTTGCTTCTGCTGCTGCAGGTGAGCTGGAGCAGGTGCCCGGAACCTGGGCTGGGACCCGTAAGCATGAAGGTCCATGACTGACGGCACAGCTCCTGCTGGCTGTGCCCCTGCTGGGGTGACGGGCAGGGAGAGGGACTGAGGAGAGCACTCGGGCCGTGCCCCACGAGGAGCACAGGTGTCGGGGGGAGCCTGGGGTCTGCACAGCTGTAGTGGGGCATCAGCAGCGGGGCTCCCGAACGTATACGCAGAAGGGGTGTAGGGTGACAACCTGTTTGGGGCCGTGCTGGAGACGGGGGAAGGAGACTCATCTTAAACTGGTTTATAGAGTTCATACCATTTTTATTTAGATTTGTGTTGACCCAAACTTTCTAAGGGTACTTCCGTTCACACCTCACGTAAGACTGAGACAATCTCAGCTGTGATTTGACAGTCTGAGCAAACGGAGAGGGGGGAGGACTTAGCCCCCCTGCCCCCACCCCTGGGGCACAACTCAGATGGAAGGACTGCACTTGACTTGCTGCCAACTCCACGGCTTTTCGAGGATGGGTGGGGCGACCTCAACACTGTTATGTGCAGTTCTCCTGAAGTGGCTGGCCCAGGGCCAGCTGTCGGTCAGGACCAGGCTGCTCGGCGTCGGAAGCTGGCTGGTCCGCCACCGGCTGGCAGTCTGGGCTGACCACTGACCCTGGTCCTCACCTCGGCTTGACTCGGGCTCTTCTCGGGAGCTGTTGAACTCCGGAGGCCTGGACACCTTCCCCAGAGGTTCAGACGGAGCTGATCTGTGGGGTGGCCTGGGCCTTATGGCTTTAACCTGACCTTGTTAAGCTTCATTTTCTTTACCTGGAAATGGAGCTAATATTTGCTCTTCCCTGTCCTGTGAAGGAAGAGGTGGGCTTGGCCTGTGTGCCCATACATCCCTGTCCTTCTGGATTTCCAGCCATGGCGAATGGTTGGCAACACACATCTGCCGCTTGCTCTGGGCCGCACGCAGGGGATGGAGGAGTAAACAAAGTTGGGGGGGCCCGTGTATGACCCAGCGCTCTCGTGGAGGCCTGCTTCTGCCACGAGTGCCTTGTTTGGCACCAGTTGCTTGGCATTTGGGGAATTTTCTCGGTCCCTTTTTGCCATTTCCGGTTGTGAATGCCCTTAATCAAACAGCACTCTCATTTTATCTCCCATACCTTGTCGAGTCCTGTCAATAGCCTTTTTTATTTTGTTAAGATTTTATTTATTTATTTGGCAGAGAGGAAGAGACAGCGAGAGAGGGAACACAAGCAGGGGGAGCGGGAGAGGGAGAAGCAGACTCCCCGCGGAGCAGGGAGCCCGATGCGGGGCTCGATCCCAGGACCCTGGGACCATGACCTGAGCCGAAGGCAGACGCCCAATGACTGAGCCCCCCAGGCGCCCCTCAATCGTCAAACCCTGTTCCCCTATTTCTCTCGCTCCTGCCCTTGCCCCTTACTGGGCTCGTCAGAAAACACAGGTGCATTTCCTCTGCTCTGTTGTGTGAGCACAGAGCCCAGCCGAGTTGACTCATGTCTGAGGAGGTGTGGAGTGGGGTCACGCAGCAAGGAGTGGACGGGGGGTGGTAATTCAGTGTTTGGTGAAAGCAGCTTTAGACCGGTTCCAGGGGATCGAGACAAGGAAAAGAGTGAGCTACAAAAGGAATCAGGTGTTTTTTGCAGTCCCCATCCCGGACTCTTAATGGGCCAAAGAGCTTTCTTTGCTCAGTGGGTGCTCGGTCCCTTGCTGAATAGGCTCTAAATAACCCATTCCTTCCCACTCCTTTCGTTGGCCCCAAAGTTGGCTTACAGCCATCTCGGGGGACATCCAAAACAGGTGCCCACTGGCCCTCCTCTGAGCTCTACATTTAACGCCAGTCCCTGTCCTGTTGGGAGTGCTGTTCTGTCTACAACAGTTTTCCTCTGCCCCCACACCCTTGCCGTCTAGGGGACACAAAGCAAGTGACAAAGTTGTGACTCCCTGCAGGTTTTCAACTTGGATCCAGATTCAGTGATAAGTCATGGAAGGGGAGTCCTGCCCTTCTCGTACGGTAATTTCTGGTGCCAAGGATTCATGAATCCTCCGCTCTGGGCTGTGGCAGGCTTCCAAGATCAGAGAGGAGGGAGGGTTTGAGACACAACAAAATCGAATGGTAAGCAAAGTCTGTTATGTTGTCGTTGCTATTTTTTAACCTGGGAAATTCTAAATTGACTTATCTTTAAAAAACTGTCAGCACTGATGCTCTGCTTGATTAATTTGCTAAGCCCCCATTTAAAGACAACAGTTAGTGGCTTGCAGAAGGCGAGGGATGGTGTGGTGGGGGGTGGGGAGTGCGGGAAGCTGGGTACTCGGCAGGGATGGAGCAGGCTAGACTCTGTCCTGAGAGCCCTGGGGACCCAGGCACATGATGAGGTCTGCACTTTTAAAGATCACCTGAGCTTCTGTATAGAGAACATACTTGGGCAGTATATTCATCTCCTAGGGGTGCCATGGCAAATGCCACAAACCGGATGGCTTCGAACAACAGAAATGGACAGTGTGGCACCATCGTCCATCATACCGTATTACACATTTGAAAGTTGCTAAGAGAGTAAATCTTAAAAGTTCTCATCACAAGAAAAATAATTCTGTAATTATGTGTGTTGGCAGATGTTAAGTAAACTTATTGTAGTTGATCATTTCTCATTATGTACAAATATCAAATCATGATGTTGTACATGTGAAGCTAATACAATGGCGTATGCCAATTACACCTCTATTCCAAAAAATTCTCCTTGAATGCAAATTTGCAATCAAAAAAAGAAATATTTTCAGGAAAGAATTATTTCCACGCAGGCTTCTTACTTCCTTAGCATCCTCTGCACACACAAAGCCCTCCTGTACCTAGGTTATTTCGCTTCAGTGACGCCATGGCTGCTCGACCAGGCCAGCCTGGACAATCCTGTCAGATGATGTGCCCGCCTGCCACAGAGTGTTAGGTGGACACTGTAGCCAGAGATGCCAGCCTCTAGAAAGTTTTCTCCCTTCACATTACAGAAACATTATGTACACCTTTTGTAAATGGTATCCTCTTTGGACCACCTGCCTAAACTTGGCAGGGATGGGAAATATAATAAGCACACTTAAAAAATCATTTCAGCAAATATAACCTTTTTCTGGTCTTCCTGTGACAGCCAGACAAGATCACACAATTTTCAAGGCATGCGTGGAGGGGGGATGTGAAACACACAGTGTCAGGTGTGCAAACCCCGGCACCCACAGTTCGCATGTGGCTGTTGACTGAGCCGTTCAAGTGCTGACAGACTGAGTTGAAGACACAGAGCTTGTGTGTGGAAAGGGCCCTTGAAGGGCCTCATTTACAGAAGGGGAAACTGAGGCCAGCGATGAGGTGAAACCTCGATGTATTCCTTGTTAGTGATCTGAGCCACCTTTGAATAGATCTGTGTTGGAAATGGAATGAATTTCTTCATTCTTTTGCAAGAACTGCGATCTTCTCCATTTTAAAAGTATACACCTGGTTAGGTCCTTCATTTAAAACCACTGACACGAATCAAGAAGGATTCAATGTTTGAATAAATCATTGTTTGAGATTTTGGAACTCCAAGACTTTAAAAATTCTTTTTTTTAAGTAAATAGAAATGTAGTCTGCAGCAGGAAAGAAATATCATCGTCCTTGATGTTAACAAAACAAGACAAGCCAGTGATGTCTGCCCCGCACCAGGAGGGTGGCTGGCCACAAGGGAAGGACACATGAAGAACGTGTGTTCATTTTCTGTGAAACCGCTAACACGTAGCCCATCGGGCAGCCGTGTGCCCTGCAGCAAAGACAGACCCTTACGGGTGTAAGGTGACCAGGACCAAGGGGGCTCAGGATCACTCAACCTGTCCTGGAGACTGAGGCATAAGTCCTAGAGTAGCTGGTGTCTGACCGTTTGCTCTCAGGATGCCTTTACACATATCACATTACTGAGAGCCCAACGAGCTCGTGCTGATGTGGGTTATGTGTACTATGATTTACCATATTAGAAATTAGGAGTGGGGCATTGGAAGCTTTTCTCAGTTCATTAAAGATAATACTAGACCCAGTACATGTGAGTATATGTCACATGCTTTTATGAAATATAACCATATTTTAAAAGAAATTCCATTTAGCATGAAGAGTGGCACTGTTTTATATTCTTGCAAATCTCTTGTTCTAAAAGAAGGTGGCTGGATTCTCCTCTCTGAGTCTGCTCTCTGTCTGTTGTAAATGTTGTTTAGTTAAAGGACATGAAGAAATTCTTTTTTTAAAATTTTTTTATTGTTATGTTAATCACCATACATTACATCATTAGTTTTTGATGTAGCCTTCCATGATTCATTGTTTGTGCATAACACCCAGTGCTCCACGCAGAATGTGCCCTCTTTAATACCCATCACCAGGCTAACCCATCCCCCCACCCCTCTCCCCTCTAGAAACCTCAGTTTGTTTTTCAGAGTCCATCGTCTCTCATGGTTCGTCTCCCCCTCCGACTTACACCCCTTCATTCTTCCCCTCCTGCTATCTTCTTCTTTTTTTTCTTAACATATATTGCATTATTTGTTTCAGAAGTACAGATCTGTGATTCAACACCCTTGCACAATTGACAGTGCTCACCATAGCACATACCCTCCCCAATGTCTATCACTCAGCCACCCCGTCCCTCCCACCCCCCACCACTCCAGCAACCCTCAGTTTGTTTCCTGAGATTAAGAATTCCTCATATTAGTGAGGTCATATGATACATGTCTTTCTCTGATTGACTTATTTCACTCAGCATAACCCCCTCCAGTTCCATCCATGTCGTTGCAAATGGCAAGATCTCATTCCTTTTGATGGCTGCATAATATTCCATTGTGTATATATACCACTTCTTCTTTATCCATTCATCTGTCGATGGACATCTTGGCTCTTTCCACAGTTTGGCAATTCTGGACATTGCTGCTATAAACATTGCGGTGCACGTACCCCTTCGGGTCCCTACATTTGTATCTTT